TAACATCAAAGGCTCCAACACTGGACCACTAAGGTGCTGGTTTTGGTTTTTGGTACCCGCCTTTCATAATAAGATCAGGCACCGGCACGTAGTCGGTATGACTCCGGTACATCACAGCTGAACTGTTTCAGCTATCTAACAGCACCTCAACCAGGATCCAGGTTCATCTCCTGACTAGACTGACATATCAGAACCACCCCCATTGGAACTGCCAGAACATACGGGGGAGGGGGGTATATAGTATAGGGTATACAGTCCTGTAGGAGGCAAATACTGATTTCACACAGGAAATTCAAGGACCTTCTAAGAAAGGTTTACACGTGTTACCATAAAAGCAGGTCTTTTTACTAGCAAATCTGATATGCACCCTTTGAGAAGGGCCAAGCTATCATTAAGTCCTCTAGACCTGGACCAGGACCGTCCTTCATCACTCGTCCTGGTTGGTCAGAAGTGTACATGTCCCGACTGTGGGTCAGAGGGCGGTCCTCCTGGGGGCACATCCTGTAGCAGGGTCCTGCCCAGTGGCCTGCTGATAGGATAGTTCGGGGCTGGAGCATCCTCGGCCCAGTCTATTCTGGGCAGCAGCTGGTCCATGTGAGGTGGTCTGTGCAGGACTGGGTAGGTTGTGATGTTGTGCTCCCGCTCAAGCAGCAAATGTCCAGGAGCTCGATTTGCCCCATCAGGTCTGTAGGGTGTGATGGTTAGAAGAGACGTTTCCTGGTCCAGGGTCTGCAGGGGCTGGGCCTGCTGGTCCATCTGATACAGCTGCTTCTTATGGACCTGGCTGTGGTCCTGGTGGTCCACTCTAGGGGTACACAGCTGCTTCTTGTGGTTGTGTAGATAGTCCTGGTGATCCAGCTGGGTGTGCTCCTGTTGTTTCTTCTGGTTCTGGATGTTATCCTGGGCCTGGTGGTGTATGCTGATGTGGTATTGTGATCGCTTCTGATTCCGAGAAATATCCGGATCATGCTGGTCCATCTGGGACTGGTATGGTGGTTTCTTCTGGTTCAGACGGTGGTCCTTTCCCTGTTCATCGACTGGAGCCTGGTACTGCTGCTGCTCTGGCTTTTTCTGGTTCTGGAGCTGGTCTTGGTGATCCTGGTTCTTCTCGAGTTCCATCTGAGCGTGGAACTGCTGCTTCTTTTGGCTCTGGATTTGGTTGTGAACCTGGTTCTTGATGTCCTTCCAGTGCCGCCCCCTGAGGACTGGTTCTAAGTCCAGACAGCGCTGACAGACCTCCTTACCTGGTACGGACTGGACCAGAACATGGACTCCTAATTGCCTCCAGATGGCCTCCTTCTCTGCAGAGGACCACGGCCGCCGTCGGACCTTCCTGGGAGCCACGGGGACTGAAAAACCAACAGAATTGGAGCGCTGCACGATCAGACTAATCTGCTAAAGTCAAAGTAGCAACATGAATCCAGGTGGACTCACCTGAGACAGATGTCTGCATTCTGTCTTCAGGTGGAATCGCAGAGGTCACTGGTTTGTTAGAGCTCTTTGACAGAACTGAACAAAGGTGGGCACAGATAGGTAAACAGCTCCAACAACTGGTTCTATAAAGTTAGAAGTTTGGGAACTGATCTGCGGCGAGGTGTGGACTCACCTTCTTGTCTGAGGTCCTTGTCCAATCTTATCTGGACAGGTCGTTTCTTTGGTTTAGTTCCTCCATCTGTAGCAGCTGGAAAAGGAGAAAAACTGGGTCAGTAACAAACTTTGGGATCAAAACTTCTCCAGCTGAAAATCCAAAACTACAGTCACATCCTGGTTCTTCCTAACCCAAACATTACTGGACTTACTGAAGATGCTAAACTAAGCAGGAGGACTGTGGTCTCACCTGGATCTGGGTTCTGCAGCCCCAGGTTGTCCCACTCTCGGCCCAGCATGTGGTAGAAGTCGGTGGTCTTGGCGGCAGCCTCCCAGTCTCCGTCCTGCAGGCTCTCTCCAATAGCAATCTCACAGACTGTCTTTAGTGTGGTTTTCACCGCCAGTGGAGGGCGGCTCCACCTGTTTCCTGCTGCCTTCCTGGCTGCGGACAGCGCCAGGCTGAGGCGACCTGGGGCCAGCAGGTCCTGCAGGCTCTGGACGCCGGAGTCAAGGGATTTAGCGGCCAGGAGCAACCTGCCAAGTTCCCGGAGCTTCTGGCTTACGTAGTCGTACCTCCTCTGACCACTATCCTGGTTCCCCATCAGCTTGTTGCCATACTTACAGATCAGCCAATCAGACTTCACCTGGAGGCAGAGAGGAGCCAGTTACCATAGAGAAAGGTCAGAGAGTGTAGATAGTGTTAGGTGCACAGACAGGTGTGGAGACAGGTGAGCCGACCTCGTAAGACACGTTATCTTGGTTCATGCGATGCAGGATTTCACTGCAGCTCTCTGACGCTCCACTGGAGATCGGCAGGAGCCGCGACGCCGCTGCCTGCACCCTTGTCCGTTTCCTGGCTCGGATCACAGCGGGGTCAGAGGTCGTGTTCTGATCGACACTTGGGTCAGAGGTCATAAGCTGTTTGGTCCCGGCCTCTGCAGTCTCACCAAGGGAATCCTCAGGTATGTCCTCTCTGGTGACATCACAGGGCAACTTACTTGTGGAACCAGAGGTGGCGTCGTTGGCGGGGTCAGCGTTCGCCTCGGCTTTGGACGGGTTGATGGCGAGCTTCTTGCGACACGACACCTGATGCTTCCACAGGTCAGCACGAAGGAAAAATCCAAGACACAACGGGCATGGCAGGTAGTTCCTCGCATCCACATCCTCAGAGGGCTGACGCCATGGCACGATCTCACCAGTGCCCTGCCGGATCACCTGAGGACACACAGGGAGGCGGAGT